AGATAGAGTTTTTCTAAATAAATTTCCATATAATCAAATCTGATATTATATAGTTATTCCCAACATTTATAAAGAACTACCTGCGGTAAAGCAAAGCCCGAACAACCTTTGAATTGAATTTCTTCTCGGTTTCTGCCGAACAACAGCTTAAGACGTGCAACCAATTTCTATTATACTCCACGATTTGATTGCTTTAAATGCTTGAAACGTGTTGGCAGAGGCACACAAACACACACACAGACAGACGGACAAAAATACAAATTTGAAGTCAATTGATGTAATCTATTAGTTACAGATGTAAATGTCAGAAGTACTTAAGAAAGTATCTCAATTTCTCCCGCTCAAGCGTCGGCGAGCTAAATGTGACATTTATTTTTATCTTTCTAGCATTACCAATAGCTATTTGGCTATTTTGCGGCAACAACTTGGCGTCGACAAGCTGCCTAACGCACCTGACAAACTTGCTTTAATGTATGTCAAACCTCAGCGTGCGCTAAGAAGTACCAGAAGAAGATGAAGTAGCAGAAGAAGAAGATGTTTGGCAGGTAGCATCACCGCAGCCGCAAAAAACAGCGGCCTCTTTTCGACATTTGAGTGACATTATTTGTGTCAACAATAAAACACTCAAAAAGCATGTTAGTCAAAGCGAGACAGTGAGAGTGAGCAAGAGAGAGAGAGAGAGAGAGAGAGAGTGGCAGAGTGAGCTAGAGAGGAATACAGAATGAGAAAGCGAGAGAGAGAGAGAGAGAGAGAGAGAGAGAGAGGACAACAGATATTGCTAGACAAACGGAACCAGAAACTGAATCCGATGCGGACAGTACACTTTAAAATTCAATAAAACTTCAATCAGCGTTTTTGAATGTGTGTATTGGCGTGAGTGTGTGTGTGTGCGTGTGTATTGGTGTGAGTGTGGCTGTACGTGTGTACACATTGGCACGCCCAGCAACGACGACAGCGCCCAGCAATTTAAACAAATTGAAAGCAAGCGCAAATAAAAAACAGTTTGTTGCCACTTTTCACATCAATTACGCACTTCAGCCAAAACAGACGACGATGACGATGACGATGACGATGACGACGACGACGACGGCGATGGCGACGGCGACAACATCGTTGGCAACGCCGAAGACGTAGAAAAACGAAGCAGTGGCCGCTTTCATAAGGACGAGGCGACGAGATGTCCTCGTTGGCGGCTGCTTCTAGCACAAAAATAACACTTGAAACTAAACGCGCATTCAGGCGACGACGTCGCCAGCCGGCAGCACAGTTGCTGGGCGTGCCACACCCCACACAAAGCAAAGCATACCGGCCGCGCCACTCCGCCCCGCCCTACGGCAAAGTCTCCCACTACAACAACAATTTTCGCCTGCGTACACGGCGTTTTTTATGCGCCAACTGACAGCCCCTCGGCTCTAGCTACCTTACCTCGGCCTATGCTCGCCCCTTTCCGCCACCCACCGCCCACCACCCATCGCCCCATCGACCTACACACAAACCCAAACCTTCAGAATTTGAATACGTGTGCACTGGTGTGAGCTAGCCTCTATGTGTGTGTCTGTGTTTGTGTGTTTGTCTATGTTTTCGTTTGCGAAAAGCGAAAGTAAATGTTTGAAAATCGTAAGGAAGGAAAAATCAAGTAAGCATCAAAAAAAGCGAGTGAAAAAAAAAACAGAAACGGATATTTATCTTTGACGAAGATTATATGCCCTCGTCGGTGGGGTCTATTAAAATGATTGAGCATTTGCCGAATGCACGTCGCAAAAATTTATGATTCGCCATTAACTAAAGATAACATTTTCGCCTGCATAAACATGCTATATATCATTTAGGCATCGAGGCGCTCTAAATATATACAATTGATTTGCGATTAGCTTCTGTTCACATTTTGACTAATTTAAAATGATTTATTTTCCACCGATAATCAAATGTTTAAGCTACAGATTATGCTGGCTACAATTACTTAGAATGAGTATTTAAGTAAAACGAAATAGGATGAGTTTGATTTCCATTATGAGAGTAAATGTTGATGGAGTTACTATAATATACTATATAATATATATATAATAATGAAAAAAAATGGGTTCAGGGTATAATTAAGCTTTTAGCTAATCTAATCTACAAATATATGCTAATATGAAATTTACTCTTAAATAAAATATATTATACATACAACATTATAAATGTATACCTATTGCAAAAGTAACCCACTTTCTAGCCACTACAATTTCATATAAAATTCCCCAAAAAGGAGAAGAACATAACGAAGTCAAGAAGCTTTGAACTAATTCCTTTCATAGCCACTCCCATTGACACATTGCCATCTTCAAGTGAGATTCAGAGTATCCTTTAGTAGAGTATGCAGAAACAAATACAAAAAAAAAGCGAAAAAAAAAATCAAGTAGAGCAAAAAATCCAACTTGGTTTTTATTGCGCGTGATAACAAGCGGGGAGTTGCGTGGAAATGGGAATGGCAATGGGAGTGGGAATGAGAGTGGGAATGGGAATGGGAGTGGGTCCGGGTCTGGGCACTAGAGCTGGATAGACATGGGCACTGGGTTTTCAGCTTGGCTGGGCTATGCTGCTCTGGACAGCGCTGTTTGATGTTATTATAGATGACGATGATGGCGATGACGACAGCGTGTGGCACGCACACACACACACCCATACACACACACACACACAGCGAACGAAGTCAATGATGATTTTTGCCTTCTACTTCGGCCTCAACTTTGACTGACTCGGAGAGCTGCCAATCAGAGGCGACGCGGCAAATGTCTTCTTGTTCTAGCGCATGTTTCAGGTTGTCAAGACGGCGTCAAGTACCAGAATGGGCATGTGTGTCGGTGTGTATGCGTGTGTGTGTGTGTGTGTGTGTGCGCTATGGCCATTACTTTGTTGCCTAGGCATTGCTATTGACAATAATTCCAGGTAAGTTAACTTGACGCTGTCTGTTTCAGCTCATAAATCTCAACAAGTCTGCATCTGCCTTTCATAATTTATATGCTCGCATATCAAATAAATAACAATTTGAGCTAATACCAAGAAATTAGGTAGTGGAAAATGTGTTTTTCACACAAAAATATTAAGTATACGCAGCAATATTTAACAAAGGAAAAATTGAAAAAAATAAACATGTCTCATGAAATTAATAATTAATAATTAAACATAATTAAAATTTATTAATTTTGTGTAGCATAAGACTAATGAAAGTTTATTTAATTTTGTTCCACATTTAACAATATATTAAAGGTAAAGAGTATTAGAACTTTATTTGATGTTCTCCTGTCTATCCTCTCGAAATGCTGCTGCTCTGCTGCGCACTTTATTTTGCAATTTGATTAAGGATATTGACTAGAAAATTGGCTGCTAAGGTATTTGGCCGCTTTTCTAATAAAAGCCTCTGGCTAAAAGGAAAAGGTATAGCTTACATTTTGTACATTCGCCCAGAACTGCTGCTGCAGCTGCTGCTGCAGAGAAGAAACTGAAAGGTCAATGAAATAAAAGTCTAGTTAGCAAATAGGATATTCCCTGGAATTGGAATAGCCTCAACTCAAATTCAATACAAGAAATTACTTTGGAATATAATAATGCGATTCGTGCAATTAACATTAATTTTGATGGGCGCCCAAAATGTATTTAAATAAGCCAAAGGAATTCGTTGAATAAACATGAATTCAAATAGAGGCAAATTCCCATTACGCGCCGCTATGCCGAAGTAATTATAAGAGAAAAGCGCGAGTACATTTCCACGGCAGATATTTAAGTGAAATTTTCTTTATTTTTATTCTTTACCTGCTTCCGCTGTTGCTGCCATTGTTTAGGCCACACACACAGATCAGAGCTGGCAAAGCTCCTGCTGTTCTTGCTCCTGCTCCTGCTGCTGCCGCTGCTGCTGCCACTGAACAATATGCAATAATAACAATTTACATATTCATGAGCCGCTTACGCACACAAACACAGTGAAAACACGGCAGCAGCAGCAACAACAACAACAATAACAGCAATAGAGGGGGCAGAGTTTGCATAAAGAGCAGCCGCCGCTTAAAAGAAAAAACAGAAACAGCAACAACTCCCAATTCGAATAGCCCGGCCCGAGAATAGCAGAGACCTTTTGTTAAGCTGTGTAACTGTAGATGGCCAAATATTTATAAATGTTTATTTATTTTGTTCATATATAAATATATGTGCATATACATTTTCATGATATTTGCTTGCGGACGGAACTGCCAACTGCCAACTGCCAACTGGCAACTGGGGGCCCTGGCCGTTCGATTGATGCCTGCAAATTATATATGCAGCGTATTTGATTTCAAATTTGTTGATTTCAATATGGCCAATGATAATACGAAAAGGAAGAAGATGCTACAAGTAACATCAATTTTGCACTGGGTCTTGTCTTATTTATAGTTGTCAACATGAGTTAGCAGGCACTGTCTGTCTGTGTGTGTGTGCGTTCGTTCCTTGGGGAGTTTCTGGGTCAGCGCCGTTGGCTATGAATTGCAAATGAAAGGCAATTCTCAAAATAGCCGTAGTTATGCGAAATTTTCGAGGCTGTGGCTGTGTGGCAGCTGAAGCTGCTTTTGGTTGCTCTTAGCTTTTGCTCTTTGATAATCTCAGCAGAACCTACCACAAAAATAAATCAAAACAGCGAGCAGCGACGCCGGCAGCGACTGAGGCGTGCACCAAGCCAAACAAAAATGAAAAATACACGAAGAGCCGAACGAAGATGTTGTCGCTGTTCTCGCTTTGCAGCATCCACATTCCGACAGAGTCGGCGCTGCCATCGATTTTGCTCTCGCTCATGATTTGCTTTCCACTCTCTCCCACTCTCTCTCTCTCTCTCTCACACACAATGGCAGTGGCAGCGCCAGCAGCAGCAGCAGCAGCAGCAGCAGCTTTTGTGGACGCGCTGGACTCTTTGGCATGCTCAGCCAGCCAGTCAGTCAGGTACAGACAGTTGACGTGTGCGGTTTGTGCAGCGGCTAAGCGCAATAGCAGCGTATCGAGATAGTCATAAACAGAAAATACACAAGTTGCCTGCAGAGCGTCCAWCGAGTGGAAGAAGAAGAAGAACAACAACAAGAGGAAGAGCACAGCGCATGTAACACTCGTGTGTGATAAAATGTGAAACACAAACAACAACAGCAATAGCAGCAGCAGTGACAATAACAACACGGCAAAATTGTCGCGCGCGTGTGACTGTGAGCGTGTGTCTGTGTCTCTGTTTGTGTGTATGTGTGTCTGTGTCCGTGTCTGTGTGTGTGTGTGCGAGCGCTGCGTGTCACATATCAGCTAAAAAGAAAGCAAGCATACCAAAAAATACAGTGGAAAACGCGCAGCGCAGCGGCAGAAAAATTCGTTCAACGGCAACCGCCGCCGCCGACGCCAACAGCAGCAGCAGCAGAAGCAGAAGCAGCAGCAGTAATAACAGCAGCGACGCCGACAGCGACGCCAGCAGCAGGTAGGGCGCAGCATTAATTTTACAGCAAGAGCAAGAATCGAGTGCTGGCAGCATACTCACCACACCCTGATCCTACAGGAGGCAGCGACAGCAGCAGCAGCAGCAGCAGCAGCAGCAGCAGCAACAGAAGCAGCAGCAGCAGCAACACCAAGAACAACACGCGGCAGTTGCGCAAAGAGCAGCATGCGCTCTCTTTCAATGCACGCTTCTCTTCTCTTCTCGCACACTCGGCTCTCAGCTGGTCTGCACGTGGAGCCTGTGCAGAGCAATTGGCATCCCAGTTGTGCTGAGTTTTTGGTTCAGTTGCCTTTTGTAATTTTTCGTAGCATACTTTTATGCTGCTGCTAGCTCAGCAATTTCTTTGCTGCTGTCGCTATTTATTGTCCCAGTGTCTCTGTGTATGTGTGTGAGTGTGCGAGTGTGCGAGTGTGTGTGTGTGAGCGCCTGCGATTGCGAGTCTGTGTGCTAATTGTGTTGGCCAATTTTTGAGCGTTGGCTCCCGCCTGGCGAAAATTGATACAATGTGTAAACAAAACTAAACAATTACGTGAATCGAAATTGAATTTTCTTGAACAACTGACCTTGCGGCCATTGAGATAACGATAACAGCATGAAGCTGTGCCACAATTAGAGCAATGGGCGGCTGCTTGATGGGCAAAGCCAATAAAAATGTAGGATAGTGTGTCAGCAAAATACACACAAACACACACACACACACACACAGATATATACAGGCTGAGATTGGCATGCCATGTGCGGCATGTGTACGTGTAAATGACCGGAAACTGTGCTCAAGTGCCTAGGCCAGTCCCCCTACCCCCTCCGCCAACCCACCCAGCCAATCGACTACTTCTCAGTAGTTCTGGCTGAGTTCTTGGCTCTCTACTTCTCTTGTTGCTGTTGTTGTTGTAGTTGCTGCTGCTTTTGCCTTTGCTGCTGTCTTGGAGCAGCACTTCAATTGTCAAATTGTTCTTGTTTATTGTTGCAATAGTTTTGTTGATGGACAGGTTTGAGCCCACTGACTGCTCCATGATGCTGTGTGTGTGTCTCCATGTGTGTGTGTGCGGTGTACACTCTGTTCGCCTTTCACTTGTTTTTAAAGTGATTTTCGCAGACGTAGTCGCTTTTTATGGCGCTTGTCGTTGACGTTGACGTCGTCTCCGTTCGCACAAGCAAAACAAAACAATCAACACGGAAGTCTTTTTTCGTTGTTTGCTTGTTGTTATTCTCGTTCTTTCTTCCATTTTGCTTTTTTTTATTGTTGTTATTGCGCTCAGCATGTGTGTGACTCACTATCTTTCTCTCTCTCAGTCTCCAAGTGTCTATGTGTGTGTGTGTGTGTGCGTAAATCAACGTGGCCTAGTGCGCTGCTTGAGGTTGACGTGCGCGGGCTTTTGTATGTACGATTTTTTTTCTGCTTTTTTTTTTTTTTTTTGTTTCCAGCGCAGCGAGTTTTATGCACAAGTTGATTGTGAAGTGTTTTAGCTTTTGCGAGTTGACATTTAAGTTGTTTTTATTTTATTTTTCTTACTTCACTTCACTGCTCCCACGTTCCCGCCCAGTTCCGCCAGAGAGTTTCCCCAAGTAGTCGACAGCAGCTCAACCTAAGTGACTGGCCAAAAATATAACTTTGTGACTATGTTTTATGGAACTCACTTAGCGAGCCACTTTTTGAAATGATTTTGAGGACTATTCTTAGTCCATATCTAATAATATTTTACGCTCATGTTTATTTAAGCGCTCAACATTGTTTTGATATATTTATTGTCTCATTTTTAGCTCAATCATGCAATGACATATTGAACATGATTTTCGTTTGTTCAAGTGATGGAAGTATGCTTTGAAGGCTCTCCACATGCATTGAAAATATTGCAACATTTTAAAAGTATACCAAAAGTAAAGTAGTCCAGGAGTTTACCTCATTACTATATCAAATAAAAAATTTTAACATTCAAAACATGTTTCGCAAATTATCTGGAATATAAATCTGCTATCTGCATATATCTCTTATCTAGCTAAAGCTTAAAGTCGTTTCATTTTCAATATTGCCATCAAATGAGTTAAAGCTTAAACAATTTCCAACTCTTCTAGAGTAAACCGCTATTAAAGCTTCTGGCATCAATGCTAACTGATGAGGGTCGATTCAGAAGCAATTTAGAACCACAAATCACAGAATCCAGTTACAAAGCTAACTGTGACAGGTCGTAATACAAGCAGCTTTCATTGGAAATTGAATAAGCTCATAATTGCATTGCTCATACGCCACGTGGCAAATTGAATTCAATTCGAAATGCACGCGAAATCGTCAAAGGGCATCAAATGCATTTACCGAAACGAAAGAGAATTCAAAAAATACAAAATAAATGAAAGAACCCATTGAACTTTGTCCCTAGTGAAAAATGTCAAAAAAATAAAAATAAATAATATGAACAGCAACAACGAGAACAGAAGCGAGTGAACTGAATTGGGGAGAGCAATCAACAATTTTACAAAAATGTTGAGATACTCAAGGCAGCTGCAGATAGAGATACATAGATACAGAGATACAGATGCTTGGCGCTGAGCGCTGAGCGCAGACAAAGGCAAAAGGCAATTATAGAAATATACAGACGAGCAGCAACAAATAATAAAAGCAACTTGCCATAGACAATCACAACAGCAACAGCAAAAGCAACAATAACAACTACAAACACACCAACAATATTGTTGTTGGCGCCGCCGCCGACGACAAGTAGCTGCAAAAGTTCTGCAACGTTTTTCGCATATTAAACAAACTTGAAGTAGGCGACGGAGGCAGCGACTGTGGCAGCAGCAGCAGCAGCAGCAACAGCAGCAGCCTCATTATTTATTTGATTGCCCGCACAGCTAGTGCTCAAATTACCCCTAGGGAGAGCTGTACCACAGCCAGAGAGAGCACAAAAAATATATAT